CCCCAGTTTCCCCAATCGACCCTATATACTTTATTTTTATTTTCAATCAGTTCACATTACATACTTACCTTCTGTACACGCTACGCGATAACGCGTACGTGTCTCTAGCTGATTGTCTAGAATGACGACTACGACCAAGGGGGAAGCGCCCGTTGACAGGAAGTTGGCGTTTTCCATGGTTCGTGGATGAAAAATCAATTATTATCCACTCGTGTATACGACCGTATGGTCGTCTATACGGTATCCTGGAGAGATATCCTATATCCTGGCTGTGGTAGCTCGAGGTACATTTGTCGTGTCTCACCCATGGACCCACGTGTAAAATCCAATCCCGAGTCCCTCGTACGAATTGATTCTCTCATTGGTGCCAAAATCCTATTTACCCAATCGTCAATGAGAATTCACCAAAACTTATCCCATATATATATATATATATATATATATAACGAACCATCCCATGTCCCACGCCTGATCCTAATGGGATTCTGCTTTTGCTCTGGTAATCGCTTAATGGTATGTCTGCATGCATGTTAATTTCCTTTACTGTAAACCTCATTGGATTGTTGGGAGTGAGAGGAAAGGCTTTTAAAAGAAATATAACCAAACGGTACCTCTTGAGAAAAGGCACCGGGAGACGACGACTAATCGAAGCTTCCATAAGTAAATACGTTATTTATAGGAGCTTTGGTCGATCTCTTTTTTTTCTTTTCATCGCCCACGGTACTCCTTGCCGGGTGTTTCGGTGTCTTTTTTTTAAACCCACCAATCCACCTTGAGCAATTTTGCTAATCACGTTCGGCAAGGACGATCGAGGCGTAGCACGCGGATAGTTAATTTTTGTTCTTTTGTTTTCGTCCAAATCTAATTCTCCTCCCCTTACGGGACAAACATATTCGCAGAGGGTCGCGAGTGCGTGAACTGCGGGGCTACGTCGACGCCCTTGTGGCGACGGGACGGCACCGGTCACTACCTCTGCAACGCATGCGGTCTCTACTACAAGATGAACGGACAGAATCGACCGCTCATCAAGCCTAAACGGCGCCTCGTGAGTACCTAAATAATATATATTACCAATGTATATCTGTGTGTGCTGCTAGTAGGGGGGGAAAAAAGGGTCCAATCGGTCAGACGTAATTCTGCCATAAAGCGTACACGCGCCAGTGGCTCTGGAACTTGAGGCAGGAAATTCTCTACGAGATATCCGAACGGAGATAACTGATCGAGCTAAGGAGTACCGCGTGGATCGTATTAATTAGTAATAGGTAATTAATTTCAAATTGCACCGTTATTGCCGTCCAATCAGGCGTCTCCTCTCCACCCCCCGCCCCGCGCACTACCAACCAGATACTGATTTGCTTTCGGTATCAACTGTCATTACGTGACGTTGTAGATATCAGGAAAATTATTTACATTTTCGATTCCACACATACCATGCTATATATACGTATATATCGTGTATATATAATCGTCAGATATCAAACGGAGGATATTGAAACAGACCTGGATGGTATAATCGATATCGGTAATCGTGTATACTAGATTCGTGAGAATCGCTCGTAGGAATCGCGCGAAATTCCATTTCTGCTCTGGTTAATGGTGGCGCATTGGATTGA